AATGATGATGACAACAAATGTACAAATGTGCTTGACACAATGGATGGATGTATGGATTGTGATAAGAATTGTATGAGCCCCCAATAAAATGATTGTAAAAATAAATAAAGAAAAAATTTTTAAAAAGAAAAGAAAACTGATCATCTCTGTAAACCTTAACCCAGATTCACAATAAAAAATTTAAAAAGGAAGAAAAAAAAACTACATGTGCAACATGACAGTAATTAAGTATACTCATGCATACAAAGGGACTTCAAAAAGTTCATGGAAAAATGGAATTGAAAGATATTTTTAATCTTCATTATATATGAATAGTTACAGAGAGAAACAACTGATAAGAGAACTTGAAAATATAAATAGTTCTTGCTGTTATAAAAGAGATTTTGTTTTCTGCTTGACACACTTCTATATTTCCCACATTATCTGCAATATGACTCTGTAACTTCATTATAGACACGTGTCCTTCCACAGCAGCTACATCTGCACCACCCGCACACTGCCTTGTGTAACAACAGAGACCCTGCCATTTTCACCCATGCTGAAGAGCGCCTGGGTTGGGATGGGGAGTCTGGGAAAATTCTGGGACATGTTTGGAAAGTACCAGGAGCAATAAGTTCGCACACTCAGCAAGGGGAAGCAGCAGAGTGGTTCAGGGATAGCTGACCCCAGAGCCATGTTTTTCCCACAGTTTTTTTCCCAAAATGACCACTCGGAATGCTAATGTTGACGATTCTGTTCATAAAACTATATCCTAGAGAAATCAGTCCCAAACTCTTTGCCACTAAGTAAATTCCAACTCACAGCAGGACAGAGTAGAGCTGCTCCATTGGGTTTCTGAGACTAAATCTTGATGCGAACAGAAAAGCCTTACCTTCTTTCCAGAGAGCTGCTGGTGGGTTTAAAGTGCCAGCCTTGTTTGGGGTTGGCAGCCCTTTGAAACCACTGGCTGCTCCTTGGGAGCAAGACGTGGCTTTCTACTGCAGGAAAGTTAGACTCCAAGAGAAGAATACACTTGGTATTGTGTTCCTAACCGGACACTTTTGACCTAATTTCTATCCAGCACTTTATAACCCAGGCCAAGTGCTATCGACAACTGGGACTTTAAACTGCCCTTGCAGGCACACAGCATCCTTCATAAGCCACACCAGAAGGATTTTATTTGGAAACTCTACTGAGGGAACTGGGTTTTACCTTAAACATAGCTGTAGCAAATCTTAGGAAATCAAATACCCCCTTTAAATTAAGGCTGAAACACACTCATGTGAGCAGAAGCAGATGACTGCTAGCCCAAGCTTATACAATTGGTGGTAACTGAAATGGGGTTCAGATCTCTTGCTTTGTGGGTGCCCAGTGAGTAGTGGCCCAGGACTACCGTATATTTATTGTTTTCTTGTTCTCTTTTTGTGCTTTTTAAATAAAATCTGTTAGTCTAGCAAGCATGGTTCTGCCTTTGTTAATGAGTACTATTGAAATTTTGCTCTATCTTCAACCCTCATTGTTTGTATAAAGTGTCCAGTCGCTTAAACTTTTAATCTGTACAAGTCAACAATTCATGTATTGTGGCCTCAAAAGCTAGCCTATCCATGCATGATTTCCTCTTCTCAATAGTATTTTAAATTCTATATCACTGACTAAATTAATGACACTATGAGTGGATTTGCCTTATGACCCATGTGGATGATTTATAACGTTCTCTATTAATATTATAATGATGTCTCTAAAGTGAACCAGAAATACATATAAACCAAAGATATATGAATGCATTTGGGGTTTACACTTAATCATAGCCCTAAGCTCATCCGCCCTGGATTCCCTGGATTTTCAGTTCCTAT